GCCGCAATGGTTTTCACATGAGCAAATGACCGAAATCTTAAAATTTTACGGAAATCATAAAAAGATATCAAAACATTTGCAAGGGTGTTTAGTTACAAGGAGCAAATTTCAATCGTACAATGTGAGACCGAAATATAGTTATAATCCCGGTTATAATATTAATTTAATAAAACTTTTCCATTAATAAGCCTGACAAAGTTAAGACCTTGTACAATGCAGAGAAATTTTCCACATTTCTTTCGATAAATTGTTATCTTATTATTATCTTATTATCGTGTGTTTTTACCGTTAATTTATTTTTAATACCAAGTGTAATGTATCTTGTGTGTTTTTAATTTTTTGTATGGCACCATTTATAAAATACAGAGGTAATGGCACGGAATAGCTAAACAGCTAATAATAAAGCACCACAAAATAACTTAACTAAAAATCAATAAATCTTGAACTTTTATTAAAAGCGAGAAACGAGGTAGGTATCTGAAAAGATGTGCTTAAAATTTATAGAAAATACACTAACTTTAGGTTACCAGCAACACATGATTGACTGTTTTTAAATGAAAAATATTCTTTTTCAGCAGATAGATATTAATATCTTAGGTAAAATACCCCCGAAAAAGGTAAATTGCTAAATAATTTGGTCTGCCCAATCTATAGGAACATATTAGTCATAGTTTTAGAGGTAAACTCCAACTATACTTGCAGATGCAGATTAAGAAGTTTTAAAGACATCGATTGTGGTAGAATAATACATAGAAAACTACATTTTTTAATTGCGTAAGTGCTTATAAAGACTGTTTTACCCTTAGTCCAGGGATATGAGGAAAATAAATGACCTGATGGTGACTGTTGAGTAGCCAAGGATCTGTAAAGTTTTTCATACAATTTGGGTGAATTTTAGTGCATAACCGACACACCATCAGGTGAGGTTTTTTAATAATTAACAATAAAAGGTCTAAAATAACCCAAAATATCATTGTTTTGCCTACAAGAAAAAAGCGATAATTTTTGTTATAATGTGAAAGTAACCAACTTGTAGGGAATAAAAAACCTTTAAAATGGTGGTTTTTAAAATTCGATACGATAATTTGTTGCTCGGGAAATTGCAAAAAACTGTCAAAGTTTGATTATTACTAAATAAACAATAAGATTTGCAAAAGTCAACCTACAACTTTCATATTGCATAAATAGTTGACTTTTATAGTCCTTATTATGTGATTAAAATTTCAGACCGATTCATCCAATAGTTTTTGCAAAATTCTAAATGTTTATCCCGGAGGCATTATTTTTGCAATAACTTGATACGCAAAATTATCAAGATATTTTAATTTTGCGGGTGTCATATGAAAGAGAAAGACTTCTTTTATTGGAAGAAATTATTTTATTGTAAAAAAATTGTTTTTTACCACTGCAAAAACGAACCACCAAATCCCGTCCATGTTTAAACAAATTATTCAATTATTTAAATGTCAATTTATTAATAAGAAAAAAATTGAAACTATATCTATAACTTCCCGCCAAAATAACTCCGAAAATGTTGATAATTAAGAATTTTTTTTTGGTAAAAGTTTAAACAAAATCCTTAATAAAAAATGATATTTTGGGTTATTTTAGACCTTTTATTGTTAATTATTAAAAAACCTCACCTGATGATGTGTCGGTTTTGCACATATTATACTAAAATTCACCCAAATTGTACGAAAAACTTTATAGATCCTTGGCTACTCAACAGTCACGGCATTTTCCTCATATCCATGGACTAACTGGAAATGAAAAAAAAAATATGACTTTTCTCGCGATTTTTCGTTGTTTTAATATCTTATACACCAAGAACAATATATCAGTGTCCATTTTAAACCGAGTGACATTAAAAAAAAAAATCGGAATCCCGACCGGACCTTCCGCTACCCCATTTTTAATTAGCAGTTAATTTCGAGTGTTAAACCAATATCTAATTTTCTTTTTTTATTGGACAAGTGAGTTTAAAAAGCAATTACCTCTCCCTATCCGTAACATAATTGCAGTTCCCTTTCAGGAAAAAATCACCCCCGTTACTTCACAGAATAACCGTTCTCCACCCCCGGCCGTGTCGTAATTGGTTTCGCCACCCCTACCCTCCCCCATAAGGTCGTTCTGATTGTAATATTGTAAAGCAATACAGCTTATAATATAATAACGTTAAATTTATGAATTTAATCGTGTGTGTTGTAGCTCTCTCGGCTGGGGCTGAAATGTGTCACTAGATTTAAATTAAAGTGAAGTATAGGCCCGCGAGCTGATGCCGTGTTTTCTCAAAGAAAGGCGAGTAATTTTTATAGGCCCATATGAGGGTTCTAATCCCTTCAAATTTCCCACATGCAGCACCACTTCTTGTTTAATTGTAATAAAAAGAATATGCAGAATGGTTTTTAAAAAACTCTACATGTTACATTCTGGCTTAGCAATAACCATATAATGCTTAAAATTATCAACATTGATACTAATAAATGGAATATTTTATTAAAATTACAACCCACTACATATAAAACGGATTTCAAACAAAAAAATGTAAATTAAATTGAAATTGAAGGAAGAAAGGAGCATAATACATTCGAAAAAAAATGTTATCTTTTCCTCAAATATGAAGCAATTTGTTTGTAGTAAACCAAGTGTAAAAATTGAGGTCAAAATTCTTGTAATATTAAGAATTTTGGATGAAATAAAACAAACCAATGGGCAAATAACAGCTTATCGCAATAAACTGCTCGATAAAAGACATTAATAAAAGGAAGAAATAATGAAGGGCCAAGATTTGAAATCTGAGGGACCACTAATTGGTAAAAAGACACATTTTTGACAAGTATTTGATTACAGTGTCAAGAAAAATACACTGTTTTACTAGGAGCCCATTTGTTTCATTAGTTCCACAACAAAAGTTCCCTCCTAATCCTAGACCCAAATACTATTTCGCAGAATTCGACCCTTCCGTTTCACTCCAACTGATCTCCTATCATTTCTCTTTCGTTATGGAATTATGTGGCTCTATCAGTGGCACCATTTTTAAGAAATAATCTCTTCTTCAGAAAAGATCTCAGGTACACGCAAGCGTATCCATCGTTGGAAAAATATAAAATATATCCACATCGTATACAATGTTTTTTAGATCATATACCTCTTTAATGTCTGTACTATTGACTTAGGATGCAGTGTGAAGTACATTTCACCTATTAACATTTAAATAATTGGCCCTAATGCAGACCCTTGAGGTGTATTTAAGGCAGATTTCAATTTAAGAAATAATTACTTGTACTTAAACTAACACGGTATTTAAGGTTAATACTTTTGACTCAGTGATAAATTGTTTTGCAGTTGATTATAAGCTTATATCAGAATGTTATTGTTATCATGGTTGTATTAGTTTTAGTTTTATGATTGCATTTGTTCCTCAAATGTTCGTTTTAATTGCAATTTCTTTTATATCGTTAGTGGAAGTAAGATAAAATATAATAATTACTATACCGTAACTGTTTTACGTAATTATAATACAAATTAATAATCAATAATCATTAATAAAATAATTTATGTTGAGAAATGTTTTTCAATAAGTATATATTTTATTAAAAGCCATGTTTTTTTTCAACCCCTGAAAAATGAACAAGCTAAACAAAATTTCTTCTTGTCTCTCAATAATCAGTGCACTATTTAAAATTGTAAACTCAAGTGTGTTTGGCATAAAAACTGTTTATAAAATGGTGTGTATCACCATTGTTAAATATTTACTTCCAGGTCCAATTTTATTATTGTAATTAGCAATTGTTTTAATTTTTATTGGTCTGTTCGTGTATCAAATAAAGCAAACGCAATATATTTGTTTTGGCGAAAAATGACCATCACAACAGTGTAATAATGTATTTATTTTTAAAAATATCAAATTACCAAATTTGCAAGATGCATAGTCACTTAGAGTTTGATACGGAATATGACTTTAAGTCTAAATATCTAGAAACAAGAAAATTTAATGTTTTAATCTGAATGTCAGTAGTACACACGAATTTCAGATGCATCTGGCAATTTCTGCAAATAGTAAAAGAGAAAATGACCACTCAGCCCGCATTTTTCTGAATAACTATAATAACAGATAAGGATGATTACGACTTATTTTATAGACCGGTATTTGTCCCAAATAGGTAAAAGTGATTGCAGTATAATTATTACAAATTGCTGTGCAATTTGTAATAATTGTGTTAATGACAAGAAAAAATATTTACTTAGCGCTTGCGACATTTCATCGGGAGCAATTTGTATCTTACGCAAGAGAACAGAAAAAGTTCTAATGATCTGCCGAAGTTGCGACCACCAAAAATAGGTAACCTCATTGCCCCATAACTTTTTAGGGTGATTTGTAAAACGTGACTTTGGTCACAATCGTTGCCAATGCTAACAAAGAAAAACACTCTTCGAATAACGATTTCCTTCAGATTCAGCATGTGTTTAAGTTGTGCAAAGTCAAAACAAGGTTAGAAAACAAAGATTAGGGTTCGCTGCATTATTTAACTCGAAGGCACTACAAAATACATCGTATGCTTCAAATACAATGCGTTTTTATCATGGAGTATTGAGGATTAACAAAACGTACATGTCTTTCTATTAATGTAATTGATATTATCAGTTTTTGAGATACTATCGACAGACTTATTGAATCAGCTCATAAATTAATTTAAATAAATAGCTAAAATACTTGGAAGTGATCCAGGTATGACATGCACCTGATATAAAAATATTAATAGTCCGCTTTGCGAGACTCCGACCCTACAGTAATATTAGCTAACGATTCCCGAGGTTTTTCTTCTCTTTTCTGTATGATACAACCTCAATAAGCACCTAATGAGGAACCAGGCAAGCCCGATTCTTTGTTCGTATTCTTTCCGTGGCACTCGAAAGAGTTAATTGCAACCCAAAACAAAACGGTCGAGCTGTCCGACGTGAAAGTGGCGAACAGCGTCGAAAGAAACCAACCTACTTACAAAAAAAATGATATTCCATTTAGGCCGCTAACACAGGTCAACATGGGGCGACACGCACAAGGCACAATCAAATCAAAAGAAACAACCACAAAAATTAACACTCAAACCATTAGCACTGGGACAACAAGTCAAACACAAGAGCAGAAAAGGAGAGATTAGATAGCAATCGGCCGAAAACACGTTTCGGTGACGTATTCCGAGTTACACCAGAGCGAGACGAACGTTCCCTCTATTTCAAGCGACGGGCATGGACTGAAACGAACTCGGAGTGAGACGCTGAAACTCCACGGTGCAGGGAGAGACCCATAGGCGTGCTGGGAGACAGTCGAGGTCCACGCCAATAATGGGGGAAAAAGTGTAACGTATATTCGAGATCCGTGCACGCGTTGATTAAAAACAAATGTTGTCATCAAGCCTCCATATTGAATATTAACTTTAGGTACAAAAATGGTTAAATCGATAATTTCATAGACTGTTTTCAGTTTTTGAGAGAGCACAATTCTACAGGTCGGATTAAAAGCGTTGAGCATATCATTTGTAAGAGATATGGAACGGATAAGAGTAGAAAATACAGTTGGGTAATTATTTTGCAACGTTCTGCATCGAAATAAATTATTTTTTTTACTGGGGACATTTAGAACCATCAATAATGATTTCAAAGTTAATTTGTTGACATTCTTCTATCTTTTATCCTTTACTAATTCAAAATGTGAGAGGATGATGATCATGATGATGACGGTAATGATGACAAATTTCAATTTTGGTCAATTTTGATTATTTTCCTTTAGTATTCTGAAATCTTTCTATAGTTTTTCTTGTTTTTATTATTTTTCCTATACCTTTAAGCCTAAATGAGTATTTTTTCTTTGATTTATTTCGATACAGGTAGTTCACTCTTTTAAAATGTTCTCTTTTCCTTTCCTTCAGTCCTTTCAAAATCTTGTTCACTTCTAAATATGATATTCTGACAATCCAAACTCATTTTGGTCTTCCTCTTCTATTTTTCACAACATTGTAAATGGAATCAGGTAGTGATATCTTCCTTTAGTTCATGTATTTGTTGTTTTTCGACCATGACCATTTCTCTATGGTATTAGAAAATGTTCTAAAACTAGCTGAAGCGTTTAATAACCAACAATTGCTCAATCAAATTTTCCTTCATCAATCTTTCAATTTGTAGTTTTTTATCATTGTTCTGTGATGTTGGTAAATGTATTATAATTCATTTGAAACGTTGACATATTAGCAATTTTTGGACTAATGATATTGTGGGACACTACTCCAAGTGCTGTATGATCCGACTAAAATTGAATTACACTCCCAATATCTAGTAAATATCATCTAGTCATCATTCTTCAGATACACACCGGTTTCAAACTTATTAGTTCCCGTCAGTAGCCATTTAAAAATGTGTCATAAGACATTTGCTTTAAAGGTTATAATCTCACTAACAATTTTTATTGCATATTTTGTTGTCCAAACTTTGCGTTTGTTGTGTCAATGATTTTCCGAGTTTCATTGTCAACATTTCGTGTATTTTTTCTATACACATTGAGGTCTAAATGGGACGTTTGTCACCTTTTCAGATATTGCCATAAAGTAAAATAATGTGGCAATAACTTGACTTGTATTTCATTATTTTTGCATGAAACGATTATATTTAAGTTAATTAAGGAAAATAAAAGTAAACTGAATGAAAAAAGTTTAAAACCAAATTGCTTCTAGAGTTCACAATAACTTTCATTTTAGAATAGTATTCAATGACAAAACACTACATATTTTTTTGATGTCTGCAAACACCGCATTTTGCATTTATGCATTTGATGATGATGATACAGTATGGATTCCGAAAATTCAACTGCTTCGATTTTATCTGTGTAACGTTATCTTTTAAATTATTTTAATTGTTCTTACTTTAATTACTTTACTTACCTTACATATTACTTTAATTACTTTAATTGCACAGTTTCTGTATTTTGAAAAATATAAACCTAGTTCAAAGCAAGGCTAAAAATGTAATAAAATTCATATCGAGCAATGTGACAACTGCGCGGCGGTTTATTAACACGAGGTACTAAGGTGTACAGCAACCACCGATACGCAATTCACTCGGTATCTGGATTCGACTGTGTCGGAGTATTTTTTGCGTACCACTATTTCCTTTTCTTGATGATGATGATTTTTAAGCAAATGTTGCAGTTTGTTTTATACTTGTGCTTTTAAAAATTACTGAACTTTGCTTTTTGGTAAGTACCTAAATTATTTTTAATACGTATGATTATTTGGCGACGTGAATCTTTACGTACTTTAATTACATATTTTTCAAATACGTAATTTGATTAAAAGTTAAGTTCCTGATTTAAGAGAATTTATTTATTTAGAAACTGGAAAACAGTTGTCTTGAAATTTACTAAACGTGTCACAATAATAGCTGTTTACATTTTTTCCGTAGGACAAGTCTGCCGCATGTACACGTGATGTGCAAGCAGGCAGCAGATTTGTTATTACTCTATCTCATGCTGAAGTAATGGCATTCAAATTTCTTACACCCTGTATATTGCGAGTGTAGTTCAGTGATGGTCAGGGTAAAGTTCATTAAATATAAGTAGATTATTATAATATAAGTTTGATCTTTTTCTTTTCTTTGGATATTTTTCCATGCTCCAATTAAAGGTCTTGGGACCTCTAAATGTTATAATTAGCATTAAAATTATACGAGAATTTGAATTATTAAAAAATTGTAAAGACGACTGGGAAACTGTAACTCTGCAAAATCATAGCAATGCCTACACGTTGCTATAAATCGTGATGATTTATTTGCACAATTAAAAACAGTCAAAATGAATTCCATTAAAAAAAGTCTATTGCCAACTATACAGGTAAAAAAAATGTATAAGTAAATGAAAAAAATAGGTTACAAACCGACAATTTTAGTTAAAAAAACCTCATAAAGTGGAATAGTGTTTTATAGTATGGATTTATCGGAAATGGTAAATTACTTAGGAAATACCACCACTGAATAATTCCAGACACAATATTTTTTCTGTTACAACCCTTATACATTGTACGGCCCGGGAAAGCAAAATATTATTTCGCTGCGATAGCTGACGGTTCAGGAAGCGCTTTCGGCCGCGACGCCACTGGAGGGTAGATATCGGAAAGCAATTTGTGAATTGTAGAAGTTGGAAGTACAACGAGGGATGCCACCCCATTAGGCCGACCGTTGGTGGTGGGGGTAGCGGCACAATGAGGTCTAGGTACAGGGCCAGAGTCAACCTGCAATAAAGGCCCTTTATAAATGCCGGGGTAATGAATGCCCCATATGCAACAATCCAACAATTACGGCAGCGAGCGTCAACTCAAAAATTAAGGACGCTTGTTATGGAAAAAATGGATTCTGTTAAGGCGCAATTAATTTTTATTTATCGTTACGCTAATTCCGCATTCAAGGGGGACTTATAAAATTACTCCGGTATTGTTGTTGTAATATATTACTTGTACGACAAGATTTACACAATGGTCCGACTTGAACGGTGGTAGGTAGCCGAGGAATTGTCAGCTGCAGTCTTGTGAAATATTAAATAAAAAAAGTCAAAGACTGTTACTGTTAAGATATATACGTAGTTTGGTGTGTTTTATGGTTTACTAAAAATGTTCTAAAGGACCAAACAGACTGAATAGGTTAAAATTACATAAATATACCAAAAATACATAATCTAAAATTTATACAGCCAAACAATTCAACAGAATAAAAAAAGTGGTAAAAAGTAGTATTTCCTCAATATAATTAAAAATTAAAGATTATTTATTATACAGGGTGTTTCAGAAAGACCTCCCGTAAATTCAGGGGGTGACAGTACGAGAAAAAATAATAATTGTTTGTCTTATGAACTATATGTCTATCTCCTCTTGTTTTCGAGATACAGAGCGTCAAAATAAAATTGTTTAATAGAATTTTTACGAAAATTTCCAAACGGTGCGAAATATTTTTATGAAACTTGGTATTCCGAGATTTTTAACTACGCCAAATACGCTGGTCTAATTATTTTTTGGATATTCAATAGATGGCACTAGTTACGCTACATTCCTATTATATTTTAGGTTCTAACTTTCTTAAGGTTAGGTTTTTTTACCATTCGGACTCCAATTTCCAATGTACAATTTTATTTTCTAAAAATAATGTACTCTTGTTAGAACTTTCTAATGTGGACGGTTTTCGAGAAAAAAGGCTTTTAATTGAACTCTTTTACGGTGAAGAAAATAAGTGACTTTTCCCAAAGTATGCTTATGTCAAAACTTATTGATGGATGTCTCATAAACAACGCATACATTCTCAGTAATATTTTAAACTCTAAATAACTTTATATCAAAATTTAATTTTAGTGATTGTTAGTGACTGTAGTTAGTAATAACTAATTTTGATATAAAGTTAATTAAAGTTTAAAATGTTACTGAGAATGTATGCGTTGTTTATGACACATCCATCAATAAGTTTTGACATAAGCCTACTTTGAGAAAAGTTACTTATTTTCTACACCGTAATATTGTGATAGAGTTCAATTAAAAGACTTTTTTCTCGAAAACCGTCCACATTAGGAAGTTCCAACAAGAGTACATTTTTTTAGAAAATAAAATTGCACATTGGAAATTGGAGTCCGAATGGTAAAAAATCTAACCTTAAAAAAATTAGAACCTAAAATGTAATAGGAATGTAGCATAACTAGCGCCCTCTATGAAATATCGAAAAAATAATTAGACCAGCGTATTTGGCATCCTTAAAAACCCCGGACTACCAAATTTCATAAAAATATTTCGCACCGTTTGGAAATTTTCGTAAAAATTGTAGATTTAAAAAATTTTATTTTGTCGCTCTGTATCTCGAAAACAAGAGGAGATAGACATATAGTTCATAAGATAAAAAATTCTTATTTTTTGTCGGTCGTCCCCTGAATTTACGGGAGGTCTTTCTGAAACACCCTGTATACAGGGTGGACCATTAGTGTGAGAAAGTAAAAGAACTCCCTTGTTATTCATAATACAGAAAAAAAGTTTATATAGAAGTTGTACAGAATTAAAAAAACCTAAAGGACAAAATTAATTTGAAACACACAGTGCGATGAGTAAAAGCGGGACACGCCAAATATTACATTTTTTAAATGGAATGGAAGTTGTATTAACTTTCAACTACTAACACTTGGAGCAAAAATATTTGACAGAGTTATAGGCAAATGTTAGGCAAAGACTCCTA